AAATCGAGATCGGCAGGTAAGGTTGCCTAAGGATCGGTGATCGTTGATCGGCCAGAAAACTGCAATCGGTGCACCCCTAGTAAAAGCCTTATAAAAGATTGTATCAGCCGCATAAAGGCACTGTTAAATTTGCTCTGTTGGATGAATGCTGCAGAAGATTGATGGATTACATGAGTAAAACTTCAGTACAGAATAGAATAGAATGTCTTTATTGTCATAGTCCAGGTAGTAAGTACAATGGAATTCATTATGCAACTTCCTGTTCAATATGCTTAAAGGAGCAAAGAGCAGCCAGAAAAATATAAAATATGCATGTCTAAGTATGTAATTAAATATATTTATAATATTTCATAATTGATGTATATTTATTAATTATACATAAATAATCCATACTTTTTCCATCCTTCTATCCTAGCCAGGGTCACAGGTAATACAAGAAATCGTATTTAAAGAAATACATTGTGGGTGGTACGAGGGTGCAGTGGTTAGCCTCACACCTCTGGGACTGGGATGCACTGTCTGTACACTGTCAATGAGAGGTCCTCTGATCATCCCGAGATGTACTATGTCAATACACTGTCAATGAGAGGTCCTCTGATCATCCCGAGATGTACTATGTCAGTACACTGTCAATGAGAGGTCCTCTGATCATCCCGAGATGTACTATGTCAGTACACTGTCAATGAGAGGTCCTCTGATCATCCCGAGATGTACTATGTCAGTACACTGTCAATGAGAGGTCCTCTGACAAGTGAATGCCCATAATATTTTCTTTGTAAATGTAGAATGGAAGTAGTTGCCTGAAGTCAGTGATGAGCTCTTTTGTCTTAATGGTGTTCAGTGCCAGATTTTTCACCAAGCACCTCAGTAGGTTCTGGAAATTCTTGCAGAAAACTGTTGTTCCTAATCCCATCTTTATTTAGAGGGAAAAAAACAGCACAGTTTATATAACTCCATTTTTACATTCCATTTTTTACATTTCCATTTTACATTCAAAGTTTCATTAACACAATTCAAGCAATCAAGATTTGACTATGCAAAAAATGCAGAACATTTTATGCAATTATCTGTTGCATTATTGAATTATACTAGACCTTACATGAATGAAACAATACAAAAACAACAAAATAAAAAATAGTTGAAATTGGCCTGGTTAAATCAGATTTAATAGGCTACACTTTTTGAGTGCGTAAGTGCATTCAGTCGCATACGCAAAAAGTATAAGTACTGAATTACTCGATTTGAGACTGACGGCAGACTAAACAGAGGAGAGAGCGGGCAAGTAGGTGGGCTGTGAATTGGCTTAAATGTGCAAAAAACAGAAATAGTAATAAATTATTAGTAAAGTATTTAATGAATTTATGAATAATAATTTAAAAATATGTAGCAGCAAACAATGTAATAAGTACTCCTTCTCTTTTCCTTCCAGCTTCCTGCCTGACTACATCAGCGGGGATTTCGATTCCATTACGCCTGAAGTCAGATCTTTCTATGAGGGAAAGGTATCGTACAGCCCGGCTTCCCCCAACCTTACTACCACCGAGGCCTTTTTCAGATTTACTGCTATTGTTTTTTTTGCCAACTGTGCCAATACAAGCAAATGCTTTTAGGGAAATACTGTTTTGGTGCATCAGTATAAGTACCATGACATTGAAGGTTCCAGGGGTTGACAGCCACAGGCTGCGTGTAATTCACTTGTTGAAAGATTGTGGAGGTGGAGGACACTTGGGAAATGCCCCTGGGTATGATGCAGACGACTCGGGAAGTTTCCAGCAGGTCACAGTCCGAGTCGTGTGATGTTCTGCGTTAACAGCTGTCTGCCTGCGACTGGTGGGGGAGAGCAGGTGTAAACATTTATAGTTTCATTATTTTTGAACAAGCAGGTATCAGAAATAAGCCAAGATGATAGGTTGTTACTCTTGTACATGCAGTGCAATGTTCACTGTGCGTTGTAATGCGATAAGGTGATAGCTGCCCGCAATATAAAACAATGGAATTGAATTATATTTATTCTAATCAAGGAATTTATATATAACGAGCTTCCTAGCTTCCTCTTGACAGCCACAAAAGTGCATTATACTATACCTGTGTAAGACCGTGTAGCGGAAATGAACTCTGGTGTGTGTCACGGGAATGTCTGCGGGTCCCCCCCTGATGTGGGTCATCCTTCTGTTCCGAAACAGAAGTGCAGACTGATCGAAACGGCAGATCAGGACCTGACCGACTTCACTAAGTGCCTGGCCATCCTCCTGGAGGAGATTAAACAGCGCAGTTTGCAGGTTTGCCCTGGGGGGGGGGGTCGTCCGCCTCACTTCACTGCCCCCGAGATGCCCGTCCGCAGGGAAATCAATCCTTTGTCAGGGTAGGCCTGGCCCCCCACCCCCCGCCGCCGTCCTTGGACAATGTCCCACTCTGAAAACATTAGCATGTCAAAACACCCAGGGATGGTGCAGCTGGCGTTCCATCGCGGTTTGTGGTGGATACCGCACCCGGGAATGATGGGGCCTACATGGGATGGGCGGGGGGTGCAGGAGATGAGTTTTGAGGAAAGAGGGCTGTTTATCCTGGAGCCGCTGTTTATCTTCCCCCTGCAAAACTTCTCTCATGAAAACACGGGATTTCGAGCTGTCATCAGCCACAACGAATTTCATTTACAAGATGATAAAGTTATTGAACTTGAACCAGGCTTTTCTTCAAATGTAACCATTGTGAACGTAGCCACTGCATTCTAACGCCACGGCAACACGCAAACACGGCCGCTGCACGCTAAGGAATACCTGCATGTCGAAATTACATCGCTTTATCGTTGGTAACAGTACTGACTGATTTCGGGTATCGATTTCTGAATATTCTTTCCCTGCCAAGAGAGCGAGCTTGTGAGGTTTCGGTGAGTGGCTGAGGGACACGCGCATTCTGAAGTGGCTTCTCTGATGTCGGGTTTCAGAGCAAACAAGGAGCTTCTGGGCTCTGCTTTAAAGTCACACACGCCAGAGTGGCGTCTGCCCTCGACACTCTAAATGTGTGACACCAAGGTCCTTTGCTCTGTGTCTCCCCACACATCTGCAAATGGGGAGCCTCATTAAAGCTTCTGTATCTGCAAAAGGTGGCATTTTGCCAAGTTACAAGGTTTTGATCTGCTCAAAGGTTGTTTGAAAGGGTTCTGTTCCAGACTCAGTTGTCACTCTGACCCCCTTAAGATATTTCCTACATTTTTATTGTATGAATTAATGGTAACACACAGGGGACAGACTGTGACCGTTTGTCATATATTACCATCTGCTTAGTTACTAAAAGTGAGGAATGCCAAATCTGACATCGCCAGGTCTGCATCTACTCATTCATTAACCTGAATGCTGACTTTGTCCCTGTTAATGTCACTCTCAGGTTGTCTCGGTAAATAGCAAATGCCCTCTTGTGTCCTTCTGAAGCACTTTTGAAGCTTTCATTAGTACTTTAATTGAAAGCTAGTGCATATCGCTCCTGCGTGCTTTAATAATGGCTCTGTTCTGAACACGGCAGCTAGTAATTTAATTCACAGTTAACCAGCAAAAATACAAAAAGAAAATACATGTATATAGTTCTCACTGAAAGTCCTGTGGTTCTTGCTTAATTTTGTAAAAATGTTGCACATTTATTGGTCTCATAGCAAAACACTGCTGAACATATCTGTCCATGTACTAACACAAAGACATTTTCTTTTTAAGTGTCATACTTTTTTGACTGACTCATTCAGTTAGTTTGAGTCCCAGATTGTGGTAAATGGGGAGGAATGAGAAAATGACCCCAATTCCAGCCCCGAGGACTGACCTGTGGCGTGGTTCAGAGCTGACAGTGTGGGCCAGTATGATGTCATCATGTCAGCCCAGGGATGCTAAGGGGGCAGGAAGGATGCTGGGGGGTGGGCTTCGCAGGGGGGGTTGTGTTTGGCTGAGACAGAGAAGAGAGTCCCCTGAAGTACGGTAGCCAATGTTACATTAGTGAGATTCTAACAATATTTAATAGTAGGACATGCTGATACACTACACTGTACGTTAAAATGTGATGATATTTACATACCATTAATGCAGAAGGAAGTGTAGAAATACAGCAAGTTAAAGATGATAATTCTTTCAAAGGGAAATTACTCACCTTCTTCCCCTAGAACCCCCCCCCCTCTCGCCCCGGCACTTTTAAGCAGGCTGATCCTTCCCTGGTTGGGGGAGCACTTCTCTGCTCCTAAAGGGTGGGGGGTGTTTGCATTAAGCTTTGCAGTGCAGTGCAGACAGACCTGTACCAAATTCTACTAACAGACTACATATAAACATAGACTAATGAGTCAAAACACTATGACCGCTTCCATTTGAAGAGCATAATGGTGCAAGTCAAGGTCTGGGATACATTAAGCGGTAAACCAAGACTGCACATATTTTACATGCTGAATGCATGACTTCTCCTAGTCACACAGCCTCTGCCATGTTTACAGAATGCTGTCATGTTGCTATAGCTGAGTTAATGGTCTGTGTGATGTGACCCTCTGCAGGTGGACACAGTGGTGACCCTTGGCGGCCTGGCTGGACGCCTGGACCAGACCATGGCCTCCATCGAGACCCTCTTCCACGCCCAGAACATGACGGAGCTGCCTGTCATTATCCTCCAGGGGTGTTCCCTGGCTTACCTCCTCCGGGCAGTAAGGGGGCGCCGCTTATCTCCCATTCATCCCTTCATTATGGGTGCTCCTGCAAAGTGATTCAAAGCGATGAGTCCAGATATATATTTTCATATATGCATCCATGACTTGTTTACATTAGCAAACAGGAAAACATGAAATTTAAGCGATTTTCAAAGTGTTGTGCGATATAAATGAGCATTGAATTGGCTGGTTTCTTTAGCAGTGTGCTAATGAGCATTGAATTGGCTGGGTTTTGTTAGCAGTGTGCTAATGAGCGTTGAATTAGCTGGTTTCTTTAGCAGTGTGCTAATGAGCGTTGAATTAGCTGGTTTCTTTAGCAGTGTGCTAATGAGCATTGAATTGGCTAAATCTGTTGGCACCGCCATGTGACCGTGGACGTCACTAATCGTATTGCGTTTATCATAGGTCTGAAGCATAATAAGCTAAAGGAGGCCACCATCGATTTCATAATAAGAATCCTTTTATTCGCCAAGTGCAAAAAGTACAAAGTGTTTGTTTTGGTGCAGGTGGCGTCATGGAGACAAACATACAAAAGTACAAAAAACAATGAATAGAATTAAAATAAAATATAGACAGAAGTAGAAATAAAAACATGCAATTCATAAATAAGCATGTAAAGGAAGGTTAGACTGCCAGATGTAGGGTACAGACCAATTTGTGGTCTGTCCAAATAACCTTGAAAAGTCAATAAGAGTATGCAATTCATGCAGTATATACAATTAAAAAAAAAGTAATACTAAATATTTTCATTTACTTTTTATCCCTTAAAAATGGAGAGTAGAGGAATGGATTCCCCTGCTGATAATGCAATATACACCTCAGACAGAGAATTGAGTAATTCTGCGGGGTACGATGACTTACTTTAAGCGAATTCAGGGGGAATCTAGCAAGACCCAGACCTGCAAATGATGTGTTTGTGCTGTTTCTGTTCAATTAACAGTGAATTATAAATATGATGGAAAATACCCATCGCCTGTACACTGCGTTAAAGGCAAATTACCAAGGCAAAGCTTCTAATGCAGTGCTTCCGTGTTGGGATTAAACCGTGTTTATACAATCAAAATAATTAGCCAGCCACCAGTGGTGTGAGGGTTAGCGCAAGACACCTATGGGTACAGAATGAATACGCGTTTGTTCACTGTTACAGCAAGGCAGCAGGATTCGCACGCAGTCGGTCACCCTAATTGGCATCACCTCGTTCATCGTGCCACCCCGTGCTTTGAAGACAGATTGCACCATCCCTTCCTTTGAAGTATGTGGGGCCCGAATCAACCGAGCCGGGCGTCAGGGGTTCTGAAATTATCACCCCCGCTGCCGTGAATCGGCTGTTCTGTGCTCCAAGGCGTCCTCCTACCAGCAGGCCTGTTACCCAGCTTGTGCTGTGGGCCTCTTGACAGACCCGGCGAAAGGCCCTGCCGCTTTTAATGTCACCCCCCCCTGCCGCTTTTAATGTCACCTCGTGCATGAAAATGTTACTTCTCCAGCTTATCTAGCACCCAGGGAAGGAAAGAGGACTTCCACTGTATACATAATATCCTCAGACCAAATTAATCTTCATGCATTCATAAATATGTACGTTAATGTGGTCTTTTACTTAGGACAACAATCCAGTCCCTTAGTAATTGTTTTGGGCAATAGTTTCTTTATAAGTGTATGTTTTGTTTTACCGTCTTGGGGAAAGGCTAGTTAATTTTAGCCACGGTCACTATTTCTTCAGAGGGAGCTGTTATTAAAGGGCGTCTTCATTGTTAAAGCAAACAAACCCTATAACACAGTGTGTTTTGCTCCCCAGTTTCCTCTAGCATGGATGAGGGGGGGGGGGTCTGGCTCCCCCGGCCCCCTCCCGGCCTGACGCCGTCTTCGTCTTCGCAGGGCATGCGGCACCGGCTGGACGTCAACACGGGCCTGGAGGGGGATTGGTGCAGCCTGATTCCTGTGGGGGGGCCCTGTGTGACCAGAACCACGGGACTCAAGTGGAACCTCGGTGAGCAAGTGGCCGGTTAACGGAACCGTCGCTCCGCATGACGACTCTCATGATAAGGAACCTGCCGTGGGGAGCGGTGACGGTTTATTATGGACCAGATGGGATTCATATACTTAACAGGGATGATTATAATGCATCCATAAGAAATTCAAGCCAAAGGGGGGGAAATAAGTGGCCGTTTGCCAGAACTCCACGGAAACAAGGCAGCAGCGAAGCTAAAGGCTGTGTGGTGTGAGAGAGGATGCCGCCGAATGACATGCCTCTGGAACTCGGGCTGTAGTCAGATGGTGTTACAAACAGACACATTTAAAAGCTGTAGGTGCTGCTTATGAATGGGTCTGAACATGTACATTGTATGTCCCGTCCCCCCCCCCAGTATTTTACTGCCCTAATCTGACCAGATGTCTCAGAACATTGTTGGTTCACTCTGTATTGGAAGGTTTCCCCCATTAACACTCGGAGGAAGAAGCGGAGATTTAAAAAGCATTAGTTTCCTTTGATTCTGTAGCACATGACAGCCAATGCATGATCTCCAGCCAATCACAGAAGTCCCCTCATGACTTGGAGCATCATGGTTGGTCAGTCTCTGTCCTCCGTTATCCAAAGAGTGCCTTATTGCCTCGAGTTTGCACACATAACCTCTTCTACAGCTGGAGCCCCTGGGCGGTGATTGTGTGATGGCGGTGATTGTGTGATGCCGGTGATTGTCCGATTGTCCATGTTTCTGTTGTAGCAGACCGACATTGAAGCAAGATTTGTTTTCACCTGCCTTGACAAGCATTACTCTATGAGCGTGTGCAGGGAGGGAAATAACTTTAATGGGAGACTTATGTTGATTTTTGTCTGTGGTAATAATGTGACTGAAAGCTAAGATGAACTTTATTGATCTCAGAGGGAGAGAGACATTCTGTGAGGCGGTTTAAAAGTATTTAAAAGGTACCTAGAGATGATTTCTTTAAATTAAAAAAAAAAACAGTAGTATTGTGATTGATCAGACACAGTGGGGTGGTGGGGGGGGGCAGGTGTGACTGGAGAAGCTTCCCCTTGGTGACATGGCTTTTCCAGTCTGACACGCTGTGATATCGCGTCTGTCCTACCTGAGTCCAGCTGAAAGGCCGTCACGGGAATAACGGGCCGGCGCTGCTGCGGACTGCCAATCTCCCGTCAGCGTGGGCAGCATGAAATCCCTCAGACATGGGGGAGGCGTCCCCAGTGCGTCAGTAAACGGGGGCTTAGCCTCAAAGGAAAGCTGGGACGATCTCTGCAGGGATTCCAAGCTATGCAGTAACTATTAAAACTGCATGCATTTAATAATCACTTTTGATTGTACTTTGCATATTTTAGTTGTTAATGCACTTAACCAGTGCTCACCTACAGACACTGACACATGATGAACTTTAACAACGTCTTACTAATTGAGGCAAAAATATAAATAATACATAAGCAACTTCATATTTTCCTGAATTAAAAAACTCCAGAATCTTAAAATAATTTCTCAAATAAGAAAATAAGTCCAGTCTAATAAATAATATTACACTGATGACTAGTTAATGGGTTGGTTAAGATGGAAGTAAAATACATTCAGGGTCCTTCTAGGATTCAGACTCTCAGAGGCGCACATTTCAGGATTCATACCCAAACATCACGTCCCTCTGCTCCTGTTTTTAGACTAAGAGCTGCTTTCTGGGCTCCAGTGATTCGAGGTTCTGCAGTCAAAATGAGAACCAGCAGCTGCATAATCTGCGGGTTCGGGAAGCCCTCTGACTGCCAGCAGGCCGAGCGGAGACTGAGGCGGAGATGTAACGTCTCGATTAGCCGCTCGGCCGAGGAGCCGCGTCAGGTGGGGGCGTGGCTGGCTGCCCCGGTCAGGGTGCGATGCTTCCAGGTGTTTCCATCTTCTCTTCGCAAGCAGTTCACCGGAATCTAAGGAATCCTGGAATGCTGCATTTTAGCCTGCAAGCCCAAAAAGGAAAAGCTTTTTAAGTTGTAAATTTGTTTGCAATGTGGGTGTTTTTCGAATTGCTATTGAAGTCTGCAGCCCCCAGCGATCCCGCTGTTTAGCATAACGTGCAAGATGTTTATTTCGGCTCAGTGCTCAGCTCCCCTCCCGAGACACCGGCTCTTCCCTGCGAAACTCTCCCCCGCCGTCGGAACGGGGCAGGAGACGGGCCTGGGAGCACGGTGGCGCGCCAGCGGAGAGCGGGGGACGGGGGCGGGGGCGGGGACACGCCTCTGCACGGCGCCCCATTGCATATTCATACATCATCAGCACCGGCACCCGCGAGCATCCAGTGCGCGGAAGCCGCAGGGCTGCGTGACAATGTCTGCGTGAGACACGCATGTAGGTCCCGCGTTACACAGGAGAAACGAGGAAGGCAGGCGGGTGATGACTGTGCTAAGAAAAGACATTAACACTTTTTTGTAAATTAGGAAATTATTTAAAATTTATTTTCATGGCAGTCTATACGCTGAAACTATATGTGAGGTGGTTATTTTTTAAAAATGCGGTGTCGTGGGACAGACATTCTCCTCAGCCTCATGCCCTGTGGTTCCTGGGACCTTGTGATGGATGGATGGATGGAGGAGTTAAACAAGCAAACTGTCAGATGCAATTGTAAGATTCCTGTGGGTATCGCTTGGGGCAGCTGCCATTTGTTGGGAACATGTACGAAGTTGCCGGCGTCGTGTGTTATAATGATGACATTCTGTCAGCCTTATTATCACAGGTGTGAGCGAATAGTGAAGCTGCACAGAGCAAAAATAAGAGGCAAATTAAAAGTCAGTCTGAACTGGTCCAAAGGAAGAAATTCACCATTTGATTGTTTCATGAGCAGCTGCCTTTTCATTGACCTCCTGTTACCAGCCTAGATCTGCTATGAAACGGTGAACAATAGGACGTCATTTTCTTAAAGGTGCAGACAGACTTTTATCGTGAAAGCTGTGCTGGATTGACGCGGAGTACACGTGATATCGGATGCAGATCGTCCTTTTGCTATCTGGACGGTTTAGCTGCTTTTATCTGGCTGCTGGTATTTTGGCATAGCGCTTAAAAGCCCATTGTGCACAATCGATTTGATGGGTATATACTTTATGGGCTGTAGTGAGTTTGTTCCTTTGAGGCTGTGAAGGGGACGATACCAGAGCATGCTGCTGTCAGACGGAGTTTGGGAGGATGTATACCCACATCTGACATGGAAGATTAAAGCCTCGCGGGGTATTTGAAGGGTACAAAACTAGGTTAAGGAACTTTTTCCATCTGCACAGTGACAGGGGACTTTGGCGTAACTTGTAACATGTGAAGAGGCACAAACACTCACACGTTTCCCTGAAAACAGAGAACAGGAAAAATGCCTCACTGAGGTAAAGTGGGAAGGCAGTGTTACAGGATCACGTAAAATGCCCCAGTGAGGTAAAGCGGGAAAGCAGTGCTACAAGATCACGTAAAATGCCCCAGTGAGGTAAAGCGGGA